GATGAGCATGTGACCACATATGTCTGGTACTTCATGGGAATCGGAGGAGGTGGTTTGGTGGTGAGTATCAGATTTGTGTTGCTGTAAATGTTGTCTTGTGTCCTGGTTCTGGGCAGACGTGTGGAGTAATGTTAGAGGATTGACAAACCCTCTCTGGACTGTGGACGCTCCAACGTCTTTATGAGGAAAAACTGAATAAGCACACTAATGTCCTAATTCAAATGTAAAAATGATACATATTTATAAAAGTTAAGGTTAGATTACTAAGGGTTGGTTTAAGAGGTTAAAGTCAGGGTTAAGCTAATGAAAAATCACCAACTTGATGCAAAAATATGTATAAAAACTGTAAGGTTTTGGTTTAGGGTGTAGAAAATATAGTAAGCATAATATAAAAACAACAAAAGTCAATTGGAAGTGTGAATGTGCAAGATTCTTGGTTGTGTATTGAAAAGTTCAAAAGCTTATCTGTGCAGTTGTGTGTGTGTGTGTGTGTGTGTGTGTGCGTGCGTGCGTGGCTCTGCATACTGCTTCCTGATCTCCGCTGTGGCGCTCTTTAAGGGGCCGTATTGCTTCACTCAGATGGGATGGAGGTATCCTTTTGAGGATGATGGCGGAAGGTATGAGCTCATTTTTTTCTTTTGAAACTGCTTTGATGGTGACTTCATAAGAAACAAGTCTTGATCTCTTTTCCTCCGTTTGTTCAGGTATCTGTTTGCTCGAGAGAAGTGGTCCGAATGCATTCAGCCGGCACACATTGTGGAGTGGAATGTGACGCTGCTGTCCATCCTGTTGGGTCTCAGCACCCTGGAGTTCCTCCTCTGTTTCCTGCAGCTCGTCAGCGGACTGGTTAACGCAGTGTGCCGGCCATGCTGCTACAAACAGGAGTACAGTCTAAACGCTTGAGGACGGAGCGTTTCCCAGCCTCAGTCATTGAGAAAAAGGACTGCTCATCTGCAGCAGAGCCGCTAAGCCATCACAACGCCATGAATGTCACTTTGGATGAAAATGTAAACACTAAGACATTTCCACACCCCTCCAGCCGAGTTTGTATTAGCAGTGCATGTTTTCTGTATAAAACAAACATTTGCATTGTACACTACCTGCAATGTGCATTTTGCTAAAATATAAATGTATTTTTGTATGAGTTCTGTTCGTTTTGTACAGAAAGTTTTGTAAATTATTTAAATATCGAGCGTGATAGAAGTACAGACGATGAATGTTGTTTTATATACCTATAAAAGATGTTTTAAATATTCCCATCAATGAATAAATAGGTCTCGTTTTAGACTAATTTTTTTCTGTTTGTTAATTTTGTGTGTAATTTCACATTTTGGTGGTTTTTACAATTACAATACAAGAAACTGGCAAAAATCCCCTGGGGAATGCTGGATAATGTAAGACTCATTATCCAGTCTCAGCAATAATCTCTGGAACATAAATCTGTGTCACACTGTAGATCTTGCCCAAATCCTCTTGGTACATAAATTGAGAACATGCAGAGTTCTGGCCCAACATAAGCTACATAAGTATGTGAGCATAAACTCTTTAGCTACAGAGCTGTGAAATTTATTTGTGATTTCTTGTATTTTTCTTAGTATACAATCCCTAAAATACATCCATATTGTCCTATTAACTTAATAATTGGTCAAGCCAACTTTAGTAGCAAAAAATGTCAACCAAATGCATTAGATAACAAGAGGTTAGTCATTCACATAGCTGAGGTGGCATTTTGGCCCACTCTTCTTTGCAGAACTGCTTTCGTTCAGCACCACTGGAGGTTTTACAGCAGTGGTCTCAAACTCAAATCCTGGAGGGAAAGTTTAGCTCCAAATCACACCTGCTTGGAAGTTTCTAGTGATCCTGAAGAGCTTGATTATCTGGATCAGGTGTGTTTGATTAGGGTTGGAGCTAAACTGTGCAGAGCTGTGGTCCTCCAGGAATTGAGTTTGAGACCAATGTTTTACAGCATGAACTGTACAGTGTAGTATAAAGTCCTGCCACAGCATCTCAATCAGGTTCAGGTTCAACTAGAAATTCAGGGGTGTATTTACTCCTTTGCTTGGGATCATTGTGCTTCACATTTCCTTCAGTATTTTCTGGTAGAGTGCAGAATTCACCCATCCATCTTCCAATCAACTTAGGCACACAGGGATGTTAGAGCCTATTCCAGCGCTTCAGGCCATAGGCACAATTTAGATTGTGGAGGAAACCAGAGCACTCACAGAAAACCTGCACCAGCGAGGGGAGAACATACAAACTCCACACAGAAAGACCTCCTGCTCCACGTTTGACTAAAAGAACATTCTCTCAAAGGTTTTGAGGTTCATCAAGGTGTGTTTTGGGAACATTTTGATAAGCCTTAATATGGAATGAAGATATGAAGATATTCTAAACATGAACATTCTGATTTTCTGTAAAGCGGCTTTGAAACAATGTGTATTGTGAAAGGCGCTATACAAATCAATTTGATTTGACTTGTTCTTCTGGATTAGCAGTGGGTTTCGCCTTGTCACTCTTCCATGGGATGCCACTTCTGGCATGTCTTTGTGATGTGGAGTTGTGAACACTGACCTCTGTTGCTGTGAAAGATTCCTGCAGTCCCTTGGATGTGGTCCTTGGCTCTTTTATGGCTTCCTGGATGAGATGTTGATATGCTTTTAGAGGAATTTTGGTAAGTCAGCCAATTGTGGTACAAGTTTTATCCATTTAGAGATTTGTGGTTGTCACTGTGGTTCTTCGGAGTCCCACAACCTTTAAAATAGCTTTGCAGCCCTTCCTAGATGGCTACATTTCACTCATTTTATTCCTCATAATCATTCCTGAAATTTCTTTGGCATAGTGTAGTGGGTGAGACCTTTTAGCCGACTTCATGTTGCTGAAAATGTTAGGTTTATATGTTGACTTTATTGTAAGTTGCAAAGTCAACAAATCTTTTTATCTGTTTGTAATTCTGTACAAACAGCACTGGGGCCAATTCTTGACTTTCGCCCTATTTCTCCTGTTCATGAGTAGTGAGGTATGACTTGTCAACAAATATTAGCATAGCATAGCTTGATTTATAATTTTAAAATGATTTGTCCCAGTGCATTTAAATTGAGTTTTAAAGGTGACATATCATGAAAATCTTACTTTTCCAGGTTTTAAGTGCTATAATCAGGTCCCGGTGCAACGTGAAAAAGATTAACCCAATCACTTTGTTTTGGTAAGCCTTTCTTTGCAAGTGTCTGAGAAAACGAGAGCGTCTAATTTCGCTCCCTTGGTGACGTGGCAAAGGGATCTCATTATAATATTACCGCCCCTTAATCTGTAAACTTCCACTCAAGGCGCCGTCATTTTGATTTCGCAAGCGACAACGTTGTACCAGCTCTAATGCCATGGAGAAAGTTTGAGCAAAGCATGCTATCTGTTCTGTCTTTGGCTGCACAGAACACGGTTTAGAGTCCCAGCCTCAGAGGAGACAAGAGAGCAGTGGATTTACTGATTTATTTAGGCTACTGTATATTGCTGCTGCCACACAGATCTAAAATAAACAAGCGATTTATTTCCCAGCTGTTTACCTTCACAGACATAACCGACTGTTTTTGTAACTCATGTGTGTTTTTAACGTAAACTTGTGTGTGAATGAGAACTT